ATGTAAAAGTTTTTGTTTGCGTTTATGTCAGAAGTCACTGCCATCATGTAGCTAAATGTGTCACAAAACCTGCTCCACGTTAGCCGGCTGGTGGCAGCAGCTAATGAAAGCTAACTTATTTTGGGAACCCAGCTACAGTTAGAAATGGCTTCTAGCGTTGCTAGCTAGCTACGGTAAAGATCTAATGGCCATTTTGTCATGATAGTGCACAAAAACTAACATATGTCTGTTGTAGCTCAGTATTTGAGCATTATAGTTCACTGCTAATGCTTAATCCGGACGTAATCGCGACTCTTTGTGAAAAGGGTCCATGGCCATTAGATCTTTACATTTTGACCATTAATTACTTCTTAAATTCCACTTAATCAACCATTCTTTGCTTCTTAAATTCCTCTTACTTAATTATTACTTCTTAAATTACTCTTACTTAACCATTAATTACTGCTTTTGTGTCCCTCCAAGTAAAGTGACAACACAAAATCAGTAATTAATGGTTAAGTAAGAGGAATTTAAGAAGTAATTAATGGTCAAAATGTAAAGATCTAATGGCCATTAATCATCAAAGTCACGGAAAAAAAGAACACCTTTTTTTGGCCTTTTATAAGGTATGAACTGCTCTGCGGATGATTCATAATAAGTTTGTACGATGTGGAAACAAGTGGAGATTTGAGCATAAATGATAAATCAGCTTCAGTGCATGAAACCAGCCGACCAGCACCTCATTTACATATCATTTACTTGAAGCACACACTAATTCATGCAGATGTTTCAGTAGCCAGCCAATACAATGTCAGTGTTTGGCATGAAAGCTAATGGCTGTGCTCGTGGGTGGAGTTTGATGTCCAGCAGTGAGTGTACTCCTCCACTGCTGACCAAACTTACTAGTATTAAAATGAAAACAACTGGAAAAAAATAAAATGTGAAATAAAACTAAATACTCTCAGTGTTGTTAACATAGTAGAGTGATAGTTTAGTGTAATTAATTCCCTAAAATAAACACTGTATTATTGCAGTGTATGACTGAAGCTGTGTTTGTGAGTCAGTAGTATGAAACAAAAGCACAGTGTAATGTGTCTTTAAATGGAACATGAAATAGTTGCAGCACTTGTTTATATCAATGTGCATGTAAAGTAAGTACATCCACTTTTGTACTGGACTGTCATGCACACAAATTAGTATTATTGAAATTTTCTACTGTTCTTATTTTTGCAATTACAGATTATGTTGATAATAGTTTTGATTAATTAGCCACATATCCAGCATTTTTGCCCAAATTTACATGCACTCCTACCAGATATGAGTACAGATATGCCAAGATGAACGTGATGAATAACAAAACCGTCCATGAATTTGTGTGCGCTCATCTTACGGTCAGATGTGACCATAAGCATCTTTAATGAACCAAAGTGAAAAAAGTGAAGCAACTGAATATATGGAGGTGATGGAAAGTTAATTAACAGATAATTAGCGGGATTAACACATAAGTGCTAGTAAGTTATCACGTTACTTCTTTATATGAAGAAAAATACTTATTAGTTAATTAACAATGTAATAAGCAGCAATTAGCACACAGATAATGAGTAAGTAAGCCACAAACTAACGACAAACTAACTTATCAACTAACAGTGTACTTAATTACTAATTGATAAGTGCTTAATCAATTACTAAGTAATAGCTAATGCTTAATGAAGAGTTAACTAATAACTAAATAATGGGAAACTAATAGTTGATTATTATATATTTAATGATTGATTAGCGACCCTTAATGTAAAGTGTTACCAAAGTGTGATATTAAAATGATGCAGGTCATTGCTTGTCATTCTCTGTGTAACTGTTCCTGCTGCTTTCAGGTCATTTTCAGTTGACTGCTGGCTTCTTTCTTAACTTTCTTTATCAGCAATCTGAGAGTGCACCATGAAAGCTTGTGTGGCACACCTGTCTGTGGATGATTAGTTATGGTTCCACTTGCATATTACCAAACCAATTAACTGACACAGGTCTCTGCAATTGTTTTGTAGCTTTTCCATTACTATGATTGCTGCTCTAAACATGAAATCTTGCCAATGGCAATGTCTTTTATAATGACATCAACTGCAATTTGCACATAAATATGTATTTATTTATTTATTTATTGCCACATTAATATCTAGAATTTAATTTATTTGATGTGTCCTCAACACACTTCTTTTTAATAGTGTTTTAATACTTTTTCCCTTTTAATTTAGTTTTTTAAACAAATCCTTGTATACGCCTACAAAAACAAGTAAAAAAAATATACATTTGAAGTGAATCTGTACACTGAAAGTATATTAAATAACAAAAACGAAAGTGTCTTTAGCTTCAAAGACTGTGGAACTTACCCTCAGCTATACCACTCATGAGCTCCCACCAAAGGTCCTGAAACAGTAAACACACTTCCAGTAACACATCACTACAATACAAACAATACTAATCACAGTCCACAGCCCTGAGTACATAAAGATTTAAAGTAGGCCTGAAGAAAAATCAATAGACTGACCCGAGTGTCACCACAGAAATGAATATATCAGTATTAATATATCTATATCTATATGGAGTCCTGCACTGTAACTTAGAGTGCAGTGAGGGGTGTTATAACTACATGAACAAGGAAAGGACAGGAATCATTTCAGCCTATAACTCCAAAGGTTGAACATGCTGTTTATTGGCAGCCGTGGTCCAGTGTAGTCACTGATTCAGCCAATTTGCGGAATGCACCGTGTCTTGTGTAAATCAATTGGAGAACACAGTGGAAAAGTCACTGAGCAATTCTGTTCAAAAACCTGAAATTTTGACAACTTTAACGAGTACTTCAGCATTTCATGTAACTGACTGAACAGTAGAAAAGCTGTTACATACCTCAGTTGCTCCTGCAGGCTGGCAGAAGCTTTGCAGGCCCAGCAGTAGCAGCAGCAGTGGGAGCATGTTGTTGTGAATACTGGACACTAGCTGTTTAGGAAAGAGTGCACCACAGCACTGAGGCAATGATGTCCAAAGTAATTTCTTGGACATTCACACTGTTTCTCTTTTCTCTCTGGGGGTAATCATTAGCCTACAACATTGATTCTACATTCTGTCCAACCATGTGCCCCAGCACACATCACACACCCCCTGTCTTGGCCTTGGCTAATGCTAAGTCATGTTTAACTTCATTCAAGCATGCAAATGTAATTGTATGACACTATATGTCAGTTCTTGAATAAATTCTCACACACTTATTTGTCCTTTGTAGTGCTATTAACATTTAACATGAGCTTAAAGGGTCTGTGAGCTCAGTTCTGCTTAACTTATCTGTCCACTAGGTCAGTGGCTATGTTTGCATGCTATAACGTTTACTTTGGATTAGACTCCTGAACTCATCTTTACTGATGCATTAAATATCAGAAGATTATACAGTCCTACTGGACCACACGCAGGGGCCCATGCTGTAAAAAGCACTGGTTAGCAGTACAAGCCAGGAGTTGTTAACAGAGATGTTATAAAGGAGGAGACAGGTCATCAGTTGGAAAATGAATGGGAAAGATCGTAATGCTCAACATGGTGTTTGTTTAGAAGGAAAGTCCCACTCTTCAATAACATGACCCAGTTGGCTTGCTGGTTAAGCCACAAGCAGGAAAAGCTCCCCCTTGTTGTGGAGGACCGCAAATGCACAGTGGCCAGAACAAGCTGAAAATGTGCGTTTTTTTGTGTTATTTGAACCAAACAGTACAAACTATTTATACTGTTTATGTCAGATTTCATCAGTGATTTCACATCTGTTTTTTATGTTAATGTTGCTTTTAGTTCTGATTTTATATTTGTCCATTCAAAAAGATAGGAGTCAGGTTTTGTTTGACTAGAACTAACTGACCTGGGGCGTTGCCAAGTTGGCCATCAAGTGGGCAGACTTTCCTTAAAGGACTTTGATTGGAATCCCAAGTTGACAAAAGAGGATAGTCAGACTTGTTCATATTGATAGGTCACAAATTTCAGCCAAAAGTGACTGAGTAGAGATTGGGATAAAAGATTAACTGTAATATTTTCAATAACAATTATGATTTTCTGCACTAAAAAAAACATTCAGTGTTGGTTTGCTCATTATATAGCACAAACTGGACAACACAGGAAGTGTAATGATGAATATATCAGCAGTTGCTAAGCTTGTGTTTAGCAGCATGTTACATCTTGACATCAGTAAAGTGATAACAGGGTTGGGATGTAATGCAATCCAAAGATGAACAAAGTGCTGTACAACTAATCAAAGGCAAAACATTTATAAACAAACACAAGCAAATCAAATAAAGTACAATTCATTTATTGTCAGTTTTCTCTTTTTAGAGCACGCCACGTGAAATAACTTTCCTCTGGCTCACTTTCTTCTCTGACTGCTGTTTCTCACCTCCTCCCTCCCCTGTGTGTGCGTCACTCACTCGAGTCTCGGTGCTCATCGTATTGCACAGATTTGATTGGCTGAGTAGCGTCACGTGTGATATTTACATTGCATGCGATTGGTCTGTGAGTCTCCGGGCTGCTAAATCGGTACCGTAAAGGCTAGAAAAGTTACGCCGATTAAAAGAGATTTACCCTGTTGAAATTAAATAATTCTCCGCAGTTTATTGGTTATAGGTCCAGGTCCGTATAGGACAGCGTGGTTTTGGTCCGCGGTCTGCCTATTGGTGACCTCTGATCTAAACTATCTAAACTAGTGGCAGCTACTGTAAACACCTGATCTCCCTTAAGCTTTAATTGAGTCTGGGTCTGTGAGGCCCGTTCTATTTAACCCATCCGTCCACTAGGTCAATGGCCATGCCATAATGTTTACTTTGAATTAGATGTCTGAACTCATCTTTACTGATGCCTTAAACATCAGTACAACTGGCCCTCCCTCAGGGGCCCATGCTGTAAAAGCACCGGTTAGCAGTACAAGCTAGGAATCAGATTGGATTACAGACATTATAAAGGAGAAGACAGTTCACTGGTTGAAAAATTAATGAGAAAGCTCATGACACTCAACTTGCCGTTTATTGAATAAAATGTGCCAGTCAGCCTGCTGGCTAGGTCACAAGCAGGAAACCCCCGCTTGCTGTGGAGATCTGTGCCTGCGCACTAGCCAGAACAAAGTGAAAAACTGTGCTTTTATGTGCGTTATTTGAGGCAAATGCTACAAATTATTCATGCTGTTTTTGTCAGATTTTATCAGTGAATTCAAATCTGTTTTTAAAACATTAATGTGGCAGTTAGCTCCAGTTTTATAGGCTCAGCAGAACAGCAACAGCACATTGACTTTCAAAATGTAGATATCCACCACCAGTTTCTGTACATCTACATAGAAAGTAATTATGAATTTTCACCAATTCAAGAGCTCATACAGACAGCTGTTTCTGACAAGAGCATACAGAGAAGTGTTCGGAATTAAATCTCACTCACACAACAAGCTGTTATGAAAAAGGGTGAACTCGTTTAGTGTTTTTATAGTGGAAAAACAAGCACCTTACTTTTTATCCATTACAAAATAAAGGAAAAAAATGTATTTTGAAAACTTTGAAAAAGCAAATCAATTGTAGAGTACAGTAGGATGGCACAAGTGTTATATTTAGGATTTATTTGATATACTTTATGTCTGGCAGGTTTAGCTTTTTGAGTATGGCACTAGCAAACACAGTTGAATTAACAGTACATGTTTGATGTATGAATCATGACCAAGAGATCTAGATATGAAGGTTTAGTTGAAGTTGCACATCCTCAGGACTCATATCATGACATATTCATAGCTCCATGTAGCTCTCAGAGCGCATCTTTTCATTGATCCAGTCAAGGTAATGGGTGACACGAGCATAAATGCCAGGTCTATTCTTCTTGCCACAAGCGTCACCCCAGCTCACCACTCCATAGATGTAATGTGTGCCATTCTGCTTACAGACCAGAGGACCCCCAGAGTCTCCCTATAAAAAGAAAGAACCAGTAAAACAGCTTTAGGTATGCAGACTCAAAATAATACCTATGGGACAGGCATACTACTACTGTTTGTATCTATGTGGCATATTAATGTGCATTTTTATAAATAACAGTATGTCTTACAGAGTCAAAAAACACATTAAACATGTCTTGAGTGATCGAGTACATTTGGAGAAGGGGGGGCACTGTATTATTACTTTACCTTTAGTAGATTAAATCAATATAAAAATAATTTTCAGTCACTTATTGCAGTGATAGGCACACACCTGGCAGGTGTCCACTCCTCCTTGCATGCGTCCAGCACAGAACATACCATCATCCAGTCTGTCCCCATAGACATTAGGTTCCATGCAACGTTTCTGGGAAATCAAGAGAACTTTTGCATCCAACAGCTGATCGGAACCTTCTTCATCTGCACAGACAAAGAATGTATCTATCATAGTTATGCATGTGTGGTAAGTAAAACCAGATTATGGAAAAATGAGCAGGAGGTGTGGTAAGAAGTCAGGAAGGTAGCCACACCGTGCTCTGTGACTCCGTAGCCTGATATGGTGCACTCCGTTCCGTCAGGGATTGGACCAGTGGGCAGACAGGCAGTCTTAACAAACCTGGTCTCCCTGGCACACTGTCCATCTACTGCCTTCAATTTAAGCAGGGCTGACATTGGATAAAACAAGAGGATGATCATCAACACCCAAGTTAGACTGGTCTATCTCTACAGCAGGAGTGTCCAATGTTATCTGCAAAGACTAGTGTTGCTGCAGGCTTTCATTCCAACATAGCAGGAGCATGCGTGATCAGTTGTAGAAGACTGTGACCAATTAATTAAACAAGTGGGATAAGATGTGCTCCTGCTTGTTTGCTTTGTGGCCCTTTGTGGATAGGATTGGACACTGCTGATCCATATGATGTAGAAGAAGAGTGTCACTACAATGTCTTAATGGAATCTAAAAGGACCATGTTTGAGTCTAAATGAAAATCAAATACATGCATACAAACTCACAGTGTAAAATATACCAAAATGTGGCCTTGTAGAAATGTCTTAGCTAAAGCTTAATAACATTTCAACAATATGAAAGTTCAGATTTATCAAGTTTTTTTCAGCTCAGAGTTTGGATTGTGATCTATTCATCTATGAATGAAAGAATAGTCCAGTAGAGAATGTATTAGTGAATGACCTATATCATTGTAGAGGGCCTCAGGAGCGTCTGTGTAGTTCTCATGAACAATGTAATCTTCTACCTCCACTGTCTGGTCTGCAGCCTCACGAACCAGCAGGTTCACTCCACCCAGAACAATCTGCATCTCATTTGTACTTTCGCTGTTAAATCGCAGACAGATTCAGCATTGTTTCATTGAATTTCATCAAATAATTAAGATTTAGGTATGAATGTCTGTGCATCATACTTAATATAATCAAAGGATTGCTGTGTACAATGTAGCAACACCTCCCTCTAGAGGCCATGCTTACATGCAGTGAGCAGCAGTGAGAACCCAGCAGGAGTCGATGAGGATTCCCCCGCAAAAGTGATGGAAGGGATCAGTAGAGTTTTTTTCGCGAACCTGCAAAGAGGCTTGCCAGGGATGAGCTCCAGGTAGAGCTTTTCTTCCACCAAAGATTTTACCCAGAGCCCTGGCAGGTTTGGAAGTTCCACACACAGAGAACTCTTTAGGAGGGGGCATGGTGATCATTTCAGTAGGTGTCTCTTCAGTGGTTGCTGGGTAGTTGTGGAAATTATGAAAATGTATCAAAGTGTTGAGGAGAAACTGTAGTTAAAATTAGGGAGCACTTATGTGGAGAAGGAGAGAGAAGTGGGATTGAAGGAAAAAGGAAAAAATAGCAGACATGTACCTGGTTCAGAGCACTGTTTGACTTTACAGCTATCCCACCGCAGTTTACCTTTGTATCTGACGAAGCACCAGGGCTTGCTTTCCCCATCTGGGTTCCTGAATAAAGGAAATGTTCAGCACCTACACAGTTTTTACTTACATTCTCAATTTCTTCCTTATTTTATGTGCCGCAATATGTCATAATGGTGTATGGGTTTGTAATGCTATATCTAATGTTAGCTAGCTGCTAACCTAGGTGCAATTCAGCAAGAGTCATCTTAAACAAAGCTCTATGTTTGAAAGTGCACTTTTGGGGCAGTCTTGTGCAACACACAAGTATGCATGTACTGTACCTTGGAAAATTACATAATTCATCATATTTTTTATTAATTCATTTCGCTAATGTTGCTTAATATAGATGACAAGCATGATACAGCTGTCTGACATGGTAAATTAAAAAAGAAATCGGAATAGCTTCTTCTCTGCCATGTTGGTCAGTGAGCACTAAACAAACCCATCCACTCTGATTGGTCCTAACCTCTATCGAAAGGAATTTTGGGTAAGACACCAGTGCCAAGTCCGCATCAATGCAGATTGCCCCAGTGGCTGCTCTGAGAGTGCATGCAGGTCATTTGTGAACATCCCTCTGAACACCAAAATGAAAAATGGGACCCCTATGGCCTCACAATCCTCACCAGTGAGGACCACGATACCTCAAGCGTTTGATTGGAAACAATACTTCACTACAAAGATCCAGGCGGACAGTAAAGTATATAGTTCAGGCTATGTTGTAAAAAATATACATTGCACAATGCATAGTGGCCAAATTGAGACAAAGGGTCTCTTCCAGGCATGCACAAAAGTCGAACCTGCAGTAGTTATGAGGTCCGACTCCATCATCTTCATCAAAATCACTGTATGGTAGGAGGTGAGAATTCCAGGGCAAACACTCCGTATCACTCACTGTTTCACTCACAAAGCCTCTGTATGATTCTCCATCTCCCTCATAACAGTCATCAGGACCTGCGGCATCATACATTCAGTTATTCAGCAGCTTCTCAGGAAACAAGATATGAGAAAAGCAAAGTGGAAATTAAACTTGTTGAGCTCCAAAACAAAGACTCAAAATAGCATATTATTGTGCCAGTTGCAGTTGTAGCGGACTGAGTATGGCAGAAGGCCACGTTACCAACTTGGCAGAACTTTCCAGAGTAGTTGTCAGGACACACACATTGGAAGCTGGCTTTTTTAGGGCCCTTTACACACGTTGCTCCATTCAAACAGGGGCTGGGTTTACAGGGTGAAGCTAAAGCAGATTAAACACAAAACATGCACAAGATTATATACCCTCTTATATTCATTACAGTGCAGGAGAGGGGAGAAAAGTCATTTTTTTCTCCACAATTTGCCATGAAACAAATTTCATTAACTCAGAATGAACACAGAAAATGATATTACTGTCTCTATGTATTCTACTGCTTGTGGTTTCTCTAAGAGCAAAACCGCTCTAGTGCGGAACAGTGCTGTTCAGAAAGAGGGGCAACACTCACGTCTTTTGCACCTGGGAGGCCTGTAGGGGGCTCTGCACTTGCACTCATAAAACGGCTCTTCTAGAATGCGGACACACTCGCCTTGACCACACTTAACATTCTTACATACATCCTCAACTGAAAAACAAAGAAAAAAATAACTACTGTAACAAGAACAATTTCTATTTAAACGGGTAGGAATGGTAGGGTAAGTTGGAGGAAGAAGGCCCCTAGGGTAGGATTCCGGCCCACGTTATTTTCTCTTCTGATCAAATGATGGGCCAAATCTAATCACATTTACTGAATCTAAACAAATTTATTAAATGGCTACGGTCAGACTAAGATACATAAAGGATACAAGATTGTTCAATAGAGTTTCACTAGCTATCTGGCATTACCTTTACACACTAACTTTAGTGACTGTTGGCTAGAATTAAGCAACATTTTAATCATATTGCTGGAGATGAGTTTGTCTGTTTAGCAGCTTGGCTTGAGTTACATCAGCACTTAATCTGTTCTGTCATGTACAATAATCATTTTCACTTAACAATAAAATGCTAAATGTGAAAAAATATGATTATGTAAATATATTATTATTATTATTATTATATAATATTATGAATTTACATAGTAACCCATTTTAAAGATTTTCTTTTTTGTGCTATAAAAAACTGTGATGCCAGTTTATTTCCCCTAAATGTGTGCAGGTTCCTGCGTCACCATCCTGAACATCCTGATTTGGTTAAGCTTCACAGTAAATGGACAGTGTTCTTAAGGGGGCATTTTCCCCATTTTCCCTGTGCGCTCTTATTTCCTCTAACCATCTTGGCACTTTCTGCCCTTGAAGGGTCGAGGACAGATGCATGTGAAAGGTCCATCACTTCCAGTCTCGCATGTTCCGTTGTTGAAGCAGGGATTGGGGTCACACATATCTAAAACAGAGAGAGAGAGAGAGAGAGAGAGAGAGAAACAAACAAACAAAGGAAATTTACACAAAAAAGTCAACAAATTAATCCCAAATTTTGAAAAATGTACAGAATTGGAGAAATTACGAATATTCCTTGGAGAGGGGCTCATAGCCCCCCTGGCTGCTAAATATGTAACAACATGCCACATATATACCGTGTTTAAGAAATGCTTACCTGTTAGTTTTAGGTTGGTGTTCTTCAGCATGTCTTCACTGGGTGTTTATTTGTGTATTTGTATTTATTCTAATGTTTTTTTTTTCAAACAAATATACGAGATAAATAACTATACATCTCAGATACCTAAGAATTTTGCACAGTAGGCTACTGTATACAAGCAATTTACAGCCTTCCAGTTTCTTTTGCAATTGAATGCTTCAAATTTTGCCCACAACTACCACTCGCTGCAGAACCAGAAGTCCAAAGGGGTGGAGCCGGACCTGATCCAACTCCGCCCACGTCTACTTTTCATTGGTCTAAAATCATCGCATTTCTATAGGTCTTTAAACTAGTATGTGTTTCTTATGTTTTCCGGCTACGACTTATTTCATTGGTCTACCCTGTCGCGTTTTTACCTGTGGGAAACCCGCAGGTGATGCTGGTGTCTTTGTGTTTTTCTCGATGTTGCCCCGTCCTGAATGCCACAACACAGCCTTTATAATCGCTCATGGTTCACGACGTTCACACTCATTTGTCAAAACTCGAAAAGCTTTTTTCACATTCCGGTACAAAGTCCGTTCTGTAGGCCTACATCTCAGGTGTACTTGTGATAGACGGGTTCTAGTTGAAAACGCTGAACGTTTTTAAACACTAGAATGCACATATGACAGGTCAAAATAACCCACATAACTGTGTTTTATCAGCTAAATCCTGGAATTTCATAATAAAAAATCTTTGTAACGACTTTTTTTTTTTTTTACATTTAAAAGGATTTGGTATTACTGCCACACATTTCCATAAGTCTAATAAAAATGACTCAATATGCCTAAAAAAATTATATGAAATGTTATATTCCCTGATAAGCCACTTTATTAGCTCATTCTACCTTGTTTCCCTATGGGAGGCAAATCCAGCCAAAAAAGAAATTAAAATTAAAACCATAAAATGAAAATGCAAACCTCTTTTTTCTTTTTCCAAACATCTGCGCAAATATCCTGCCAAAATTGAAAATGAAATGTCTACATTTGCAATTTCATTTTTCACATGAGCACGGGCCATTTGTGACAAAAATAAAAATAAATGCAAAACAGCTATTTTTCATTTCATTTTAGTCGTAATTCTGTTTTTTCACGGTCAAATCTAAAATGAAAAAGCTAAGAGAGAAAAGAAAATCCAAGCTTCACTTTGGCTTTGGCTTTTCTCCATGAAATGCAGAATACATGTCAAAACTAAAATCAAAATGCAGTGTTCACGTTCTTATTTCTTTTTCACAGCAATCGGCTGCATATCTGACAAAATGAAAATGTAAATGGATAATGGATTAATCAACAGCAAAGGGACAGTTTGTGACTCAGTTTTCGGCGCGGACGCATTTTAAGTGTCAGAATGAAAAGGCAAATGCAAACGAACATCAGCGCCACCTGCTGGACATTTACTTTACATTTTCCACTTTTCGATTTCGTTTTCGAACTGACCAACATGCAAATATATGCTAATTAGCACTAGGCGGGGCTACGGGGTACATTTTAGGACATCCTCAGACCTCCGAGTCAGAACGGCATCATTCCTCAAGCTAAACGACTTCGAGTCTCGAGAAAAACCATCGTCATGACTCAGATCTGGTGAAACTGAACGTCAGCACAAACACCGTCAGACCAAACGGCCTCAGAAAAAAGGTATCAGACCAAACGCAGGCCTGGTCGAGCATATACTGGTTCGTATAACTTAGAAAACTATTATGTATCTCGATATAAATGCCAGTATAACATTTACAGTTTTTTCTGACGGTGTTTGTGCTGACGTTCAGTTTCACCAGATCATGACGATGGTTTTTCTCGAGACTCGAAGTCGTTTAGCTTTTTTTTCAGCTCCACTCTAGTTCAGACCAATTAAAACACGACATGGGAGGAGTTGGATCAGATCCAGCCGCACCCACTGGACTTTCGCTTCTGCAGCGAAGACCATCTCAATTTTTGGGCTAGTTTCAGCTTCTGGTTGGGTGGAGATTTTTGCTGGACCTGCCAACCCACGTTACCGTAACCTACCGGTGGCAGCAGCGCGCGCACACAATCACGTTCTCGTTTAAAATTCAAAATCTAACGGAAAACTCAACGGATAAGCGCGAGCGGTCTACAGAAGCTGAGCGGATCCAGCGATCATTCAGACCAGTAGAGGTGAGGAAATAGTTTCTGTCCTTAATCTTAGATTTATCCCAACAGCGTCAGACCGTAAATCTTATTTGTCAGTCCACCTCTTCTCCGAGACCTGTCTCATCCCCGAGTCCGGGAAATGATGTCACGTTGTTTTTGAAAGTCACATGATTAAAAATGAAATTCAGCATGGCGGACTGCACAACGTACGAAACTATACTGCAAACTAAAATAGTTGTAAGTAAATAAACTCTCAATATTTTTGCAAAACAACTTTCTTTCTCGTATTTTTGATTCGATTCTGTAGTATGTTTACACGTACACCAAACTCAAGTCACAAATATATATTCGTGAAATTTTAATATCAGTATGGTTGATTAGCGAACTGGCTGCCCAGCTAATATTACAGAGGCCATTCTCAGAACCTCCATCAGGCTTGACTGGGGTTCAGGCAATGTTTGTGTTTATTATAAAACGTTCAGTGACTAAGAAAACCAGCTAGCTGTTTTGATCGCTAGCAACTTCCATTTTATCAGTCGTATACTTTTAAGGCATCTCTTTTGTCAACAAAATCATGTGTTTGTTTACTTACTGTATTTATGAATAACATACTGGCTTAAGTGTTTTAATAACAACACTATAAAATCGCTCCTTTTAAAAACAATTTGTCTAATTGCACAATAAAGAACAGGGAAAAATATAATTAATCAAGCATTTACTTTTTTATTAAAAAAAATGCAGAATGAAAAATCTTGGGCTCTATTTGCAATACCACATAAGGGCACTAGATGGCAATAATAAGCGCCACCTCCTCTCTGGGGCCTCAGATAGGTAAGCCTCAGGAATGAGATCTGCGTACAGACCCTTCTCGATTTATCTGGATACAGGTTACTGTTTTATGAGGACTGTTTCGGTATTTGTACAATTAACTCCAGCTCATTTACATTTGTAGTGACTTAGCAACACTGAGCTAACGCCATTCTGTAATGAGTTAGATTAAAACAGACGATGATTTTTGTATCAGGTGTGTGCAGAGCCGTGTCATAGCAAGCAGACTGCAAACTAACATCATACGAGTGGTAAGTCATTTGATAGCCTTCTATCTTTGTTTGGCAGCAGCTGATTTAAGTACCCAGTAACGATAAAACGTCATTGATAAATATGATTAAAAGTGTCTTGTTTATAGTCCCTCAAAAGCAGGGTTGCCAGGTGCTGCAAAACTCTCCAGCCCAAAGTGTCCTTAAAACCCGCCCACCAGAGGCTGAAACTAGCCCAGAATTTAAAGCATTCAATTGCAAAACAAACTGTAAATTGTATATATACAAGGCTGAGCAAAAATCCCACGCAGTCTGAGAACATAACATGTAACTGTATTTATCTAGGCATTAAATCTTTTATTAAAAATGTTTTTATTTAAAAAATGCAGAACAAATATAAATATATAAAAACAGTACATTATGATTTCATGGGTGTCAGTGTATAAACCATTTCCAAACCTCTCCTCAAGGAAGCTCAGCCACATGCACACAGTTTGCTATGGGACATTGAGAGCACCAAGAAGCCTTAAGTTCATAATTCACATAGTGCACTATATAGAAAGGACGCAGCCATTTGAGAATCAGCCCATGTTTGTATTATGAATCCTTCGTTCAATAGAATCAGCTGTGCTGGAACACTCCTGTTGCCAAGATTAATTGTTTTAAACCAGAGTTTTAAGAGTTGTAGTTTTCAAATGATGTAGAAAACTAAAAATTGCAAAAATTGAGATACTTGTTTGTTTGTTTGTGTGTTTGATGTCTGGACAGTGTAGATATGTAGGAAGTAAAACATTTTATAATGGTAAAATGTTAATGCCTTTACCACTGTGTTAGCATTTAGTAAAGTAATGAATGCTTGATATTCTGGATATTTATGTACTGGTACTACGGCTTGTTTCCTCTGCTGAAAAGCCATGTTTTCCATAAGACTGATGCCACGAACTTCAAGAAGAAAGAAAAGTGACCTGAAAAGGCCTGGAGGGGTCCACCTCCATATTTGATTCAATACAGTGATGTCTTCGATACAGTACATATAGAGTAGATAAAAATCTGTTTTATGTTAATACGTCAGTGTTTCCAATTTTAGTTTGTTAGAGCATTCAACACTGCGGGCTTGCTTAAATGACACTTTTTGCAATAAAATCAGTATTAAATACATTACTTGCTCCAGCCTGAATGTATAGTTTGATATCTGTGCATATTGATTTGACAGGCTGATATTGAACAATACAATACAATACAATACAATGAGCTGTTACACCCCTACACTCTTAAACCTTGAGCCATCACAGTTTATTTATCTCCATATATTCTGATTTAGGCTTGTACAAATATGGTTGAGGCACAGTAACCGTTTTAGAACTTCCGTAAGTCAACTAAAGAATGCTAGTGAGCAACATTGGTCTGCTTTATTGACTAATAATAAATATGCAGACATTATTTTATGCATAAAATTCACTTGAGATGTGTTTGACACACATTCAGGAATAACACAGAAACACCTCTCCCATAGGGCCTGTCCAGTCATTGATTCTTACGAGAAAAAAAGGCAAGCCAAAACATTAATTGAATTCATTCAGCCTTCCAAAATCAAAGCTGTGCTCCAGTCATCATGAGTTAACATGAGGAATTTGACTAAGACGCACAATGTAAGTGAAATAGTTAAACTATAAAGAGAAAATTCTGGATTTCCAGTTTAACCTGTTTAATTCTCCATGAAGTCTGTATGCTTTTTGAAAGGTAATATATGTCTTGTTGTCTGAAGGACTATTTATGCACAGACTCTTTTGCAGAAATAGCCAACAAGTGTCCTGCCTTTTTTTGGCCAGTTCTACTGTTTACAGCTATTTAAAGTGCCCTCTGGAACAGCACCACAAATAAAGACAAAAAATCCACTTTATTGTTTATTAAATGTTTTCTATGCTTAGCATGATTATAAAATCAGTAAAAAAGAGAGATTAGCCCTCCAAGTTTCTGTTTCTGTTTTTATGTGGTTAGGTGAAAGGTTAGGTGAATGGGGTAGCTACTGAAAAACATGTATACATCAGTAAACTAGTGCCTTGAGTGTTCCTAAAACTCTGCTTAACCTAGACTTTTTCAGACTTTTTGGGGTAAGAGTAATTGTAATACACTTGTTTAGCAAAAAATTCTTGTTGAACAATTGTTTTTAAACAATCCCTGGCTGAAGGTTATATTACTCCCACATTTTGTCTTTTTTTTGACTCATCTGTATGAAGGGTGCCAATAATTCTGGAGCATATATGTATTCTGCTTTACCTTACAGCATGACTATTACCTGTGTCATCAAAGAGATCAAACAGCCAGTCAAGGGTGCTCTCAATAACCTCATCACTTTCGGACGGTTCGTCAGTGTAGTCATAGAAATACTCATTAACTGCTGTTAAAAAAAAAGAGAGAAAGCAGCTGGTAATTATTTGCTGCAAAATCTAATCAGGTTTTACTAAATTAATTAAGAGTGTGTTAACAAGGTCACTGCTTGAGCTCAGTGAAACAACAAGCCTTTGAAGAAGAGTAAAGTGCTTTCACAAGATGTTGTAGAAATGTTAACACTGGCCACAAAGATTATGAAACTCACCATCGAAAATACCGCTCACAACCTCCCACAGTAGGTCCTGAAACAGTAAACATGGTTATCTTTAGCCCCTTATCATGTACGCTTATTACTCAGTTAGTAATCTTGAGGCCATTCAGTCACTACTACGAAATCAGTAGACTGACCCAAGTGTCATCAAAGAAATCTACCCATGTATTTATTTATAGACATATAGTTGTATGCAAAAGTTTAAGCAACCCTGGTCAAATTATATGTTTTGTTGATTTTCCAAGTGAAAATAAGTTAATACTTCCTCTACAGAGAACACACTTAAATATGACATTTGCTGAGTTTAACAAATAAAAAAAAATAAAGCATACAATATGAACTTTTATAAAGAGAACTTTTTTATAAACAGAACCATATTTTAGGTTTTTATTTCTCCAATATGTTAAATTAAGCAAATAAATTGTAATTGGGCATTAAAATCAACAAAAATAATTTAAGCATGGGTGCCTAAACTTTTGCATATGGCTATGCTGGACTATGGTGTGCAGTGTGGTTTGCTGTGACTGCACCAGTCATAGGGGAAACTTAGAAACAATCTCAGTCTTTAATATTGTTAATTGTTTATTGGCAGTTGTGGTCCATTGCATGTCATTATGCAGTCATCAGGTAAATAAAATGACGAAAACACTGGAGAAATCATACTTACCCTTCAGTTTTTACTACTCTTTTAAAACTCAGACTTAATGCTTGGATAATTTAATTTTGTGTAATTAAATTTTCTCACTATTTCATATAACTGAAAAAACTAAAGAAGTTGCTACATACCTCAACTGCTCCTACAGGCTGATTGAAGCTCTGCAAGCCCAGCAGTAGCAGCAGGAACAGCGGCCGCATGGCGCTGGGAAGACTGGGCACAGGCTAAACGAGGAACGCTGAGACAAATGAGAAATGAGAGAAGCACTGAGGCCCGATCAGGTTTGCATATACAGTATTCTCTGATGTCCAGCTGGCAATCATTAGCCCTGCATTGATTTTTCATGAATTCACTCTGTCCAAACACATCCAAATAGATAACACACATTTAGTCTGTTTTCATCTAAAGCATAGACTTCTGGTGGAGGTTCTGACCTCATTCAGCTGTATAAATGCAATATGACTGTCTAGTCAGTTTAGGTGTAAATTATGATGTAGGCATTTGCCTCCTTGGATTCCTTGAAATCCAAAATGAGCTTATTGGTGTTGCTGTAATAAATATGAGGTCAGTTTTGACTAACTCATCCCTTCACTAGGTCAATGGCCATGTTTGCCTACCTTTAGGTTTACTTTGGATCAGGCCCATAACCTCATCTTTTTTAAAGCATTACACATCAGTAGGTCATAAACTACTACTGTCCCTTCTACCACATATTTCCATAGTCCAGTGAGAGCATCAGTGGCTGCAACCAATACGTCTTATATATCGTACATAAGTCAGTAGTTCCAACTTCACCACAGTTGTATCCCCCTCACTCTCATTCATTCATCTTATGTATTCTCGTCACAGTGGAGAATCTCTTTACACTTTGCTATTGGTTTTGTTAGTGTGCAGGCTTGTTAATTATACATAGGTCTGCTGCGAACACTGTCCAGCATATGCTGCTGACGTTACAGATATCAGCAGTGTGTTTTGCTTGCAAATGATACTTCAAATGTAATGGACTTCAGTGATAAATTAGTCTTTGCAGTAGCTGTAAATATTCAGCGGAACTTGCCAGTTAAAAGGTGTATTTGAACAAGAGGGCTACAGGCATGGAGTCATATAAACAATGCACGAGCAGCACAATGATTGAGATAAATATGTATGGCTTTAGGACAATGCAAAGTCACAATGAGCTAGGTTTTTCTTGATTTTTTATTCAAATAAAAAAAGGAACAGATCACTTGACACTGGAGGACAGAAATACATTTTCCTATACAGCATGAGAGATGAATGATAGGATGAGAGTCATAAACAGCATCTGGATATGAGAAACATGAGAAGGCCCTCTGGGATCTTACTTGTACCAGTGGTTGAACTTTCACTCACTATTTGTCAAACCCCAAGATTGTTCTAGCTCCTAAAAACTCATGCACAAGTGAGTGTATCAAAAGGAACAATGCACTCTGAAACTGGAAAAAAGGCAGAAAAAGACAGAATTACTGTACTGTATAAAATATGCCTCATATATGCCTTATTTCATTCAGATTCTCAGAAAACCTAAATATTGTTCAGTAGATATAGAATTTGTTCTGAATCCTGTGAAAAATCCAAAAGTTTTCTGTCATGTTCACATGGATTAACCTGGAGCAGGTGAATGAGAGACATGTCTGTCTCAATGATTGCCAAACAATCAAGGCTAGATGTCTCCAGCACACCACCACTCAAACCACTGCTTCAATCTCCAGCAAAACAGGCATCCACTCTCACACCATCATCTGAATTGCTCATTCCAGTGTCAGGCAAACATACAACACAGGTTGCACTTCATGGTAAATCTCTTTTAATTTAGTATACCAGATAAGTGCTAGCACTATTCTTGGACTGGTCCCATCCAACTGTATATGATTGTAGGCATTCATAGTGCATTTAGAATCTTGAACAAAACCCCTACTGTCAAACAGTCCATCTTATTTCTTTCTGCAAAACCAAAACACACAGTGCCAAATTGCTTCTTGTAAGAGCCACAAAGAAGAGCTCAGAGGTTACAGTCCAGAACAGAATGAAAAAAAAATAGGGAAGTCATAAATCCAGTCAAGGAGAGTCATATTCTCTTCCCATCAGCAGCAATCACCAGTTCCAAAAGAATTCTTTTCTTTTTCACCACATCAACTCATATCCCATAGAGTAAAGGCACTATATTGTCATTTCGTCAGCCTGTCTCCTCAGCTGAGCTTATTTGTGGTGAGCTGGGGCTAGTTGGAGTGCTCTCTGGATCTCCTCATATGGATGCAGCGCTCAGGTGTACTCTGACTTGCGGATGTAGTTAGAGGGAACATAGCCCCTTCGTCCTCCTGCCTCTCCTAGCCACCACTCTTGGTTGCCATTCATGTCCTGAAACTCCAGAATTCGTACTCTTTGGTTGGCCGAGATGCTCAGCTCATTTGCACATCGTGCACTGAATGAATAGAGAGCATAATATATCTGGGGGAAAAAAGAAAAAAAAAGTTTTTAAAATAGTTTACACCATTTGAAAGTGCCACCTACGTTTTACATTGTGGGAATGTTTCATGAGGAATGGACCAATATACAGGGTTCAAAATTACTTGGAAATAATAATGTTGCATTGACATACAGTTGATATAAGTTTTTTTTCCTCCCTTTTTCCTATAAAATGAACATTTTGGAGATGGGACTGTCACAACAGTGATAAACTGTAGTTCAACAGAAAAAAACATTCCTTTGAAGGACTTGTGGATACAAAGCTTTCAAAAAGCTTGAAACATGGCAATCCTATGCCATAGTTAAAAGTACATGCCAAGTCTAAAGTACATAGAGTGTAAAGCAGATTAAACATACCTGATGGCCATCGACATCTGGATCAGGGTCAGGCTCTGTGTACTCATCATTAGGGTACTGAGGCCTCCTCTGCTGCACTGAACTTTCCCCATTCCGCCTCTGCTGAGAGCTGTAGGCTGCATACCTCTGAGACGGTTCATGTCTCGATTTCCTACTGGAGGAGCAAGAGTCTGTCTCAGAAGAGTCTGAAAGGTCTCTGTGATTGGCTGGAGTAGTGTACCTGGAGTCTGAGGAATCTTGATCATTGGTAAAATTCTGGTATAAAGGCTCTGAATAGTCTCTGTGATTTGCAGCATTATGATAGGATGTCTCAGACAGCTCTCTGTGACTGGAAGAATTCCTGTAGGATGAGTCAAGGGAATCTCTCTGATTGTTGGTGGGACAGTTAAGCGTTGGAGCATCTCTGTGGGGGTTCCTGCGGGACGGGGCAGAGTCCTGAGTGGGGCGCGGGCACGCATGGTCTGAAGGTGCAGTAGTAGAGAAGCTGACAGTGGATGTCTCCTGGTTAAAAGTCAGTGTGCTGTTGCTGTTCTGCCGTGAGAATACAGGTGAGGAGCCGCCATAACCTGATTCATTGGAGGACTGGCTTTCAATGGAGACATCTGACTGGCTTCTACGTGGGTTGTAGGGCTTTAAAAATGAACTGTAAACAAAGCCCTTAGTGGCTGTGGATAGAGACAGAAGACAGGAGTTATTCCCAGAGGCAAAAACCTGTATTATACAACCTCAAAACAAGTGAACAACATTTCAGCCATTTCAGTAAGATACATACCACCATTGTCTATGAGCCAGCGATTCTGGCTGCCCATGGGGTCCTGCTGTTTGATAACACCCACAATGTCACCCTCTGATATGGACACATCCAGGTCTTGTGCTGCATTAAAGTTCCTTTCAGCCTGGAAGAGTTTATCTGGGCCATAGCGGGCCAGCAGCCCTGCCCGGTGCTCATCTGTCTGCCGTACTAAATTTGGCTACACACACACAGAGAAGGGGAGGAAACAAGATTAGAGGCAAAATGTTACTAATAGTCAGATTTATCAATTACTGATAACATCTTAGTAAGTACTGAGATGAGAAAAAAAAACATAAAAATAATCTCAAATTACATCAGGTAAATTCACAACTCAATCCTGGCAATCGGTAGGCCAATAATTTGTAGATATATGAAATCTTTAAACAAGTGGATGGATTGTTATGAAAACGCATCATCTCGAATGAGTGAGACTCACAGGACCCTGCAGAGGCTTTTTAGAGGTTTGTTTCTCTAGAGTTTTCCTGTCAAAAGGCTTGCGGTTGGTGGGCAAGTTCTCAGGGAAAAAGCTGAAGCTCTGTAGCAGCTGAAGCACTCGGCCATGCTCTTCCTGAAACAGCGAAACCAGGTTCCCATCTGGGCCACCCATACCAGACAGCTAAGAGAAAGAGATGTATGGTAATAAGGTTAATGGTTCTAACCAGTTCAAGAGTGTATCAAGATGTCAATATGGTGTTTGAAGTATGTGCATCCAGATAAGCATTTGAAATTATAGCAATCTTGTGGCTGAATGAATTGTGGAAAATATCTTATTGCATTTTTTTTTGTCCGTTGTGACTGCAATTTAACAAGTTCTTTAGTTTTGTCTCTGGATCTACGAGGCTAACATAGCTATAAAACACAGTAACACATCAAGTTCTAATGTAATGTCAAATGGATGGTCATCTATAAAAAAAAATTCAGGCTTTACAATCACTTTTGCTGATATTTATATTTTTTGCCAAAACTTACCTGCCCAATAAGTTGCTTTTGTTGCCCTGTCATCTTTCCCACAGCCACTTAAACATTCTGAAGCCTTCTGTCTTACACCTGCCTCTCTATCTCTCCCCCATCATCACCTGCTGCTTACCTGCAGAAGTGGCGTGAGCTCGCCTAGTGTGAGGCGGATGAAGTCCCTCTGGGCCTGGGCAAAACCCCGCACGCAGCTGGTAAACAGCTCCTCAGCGGCACGGTGGAACTTGGGCAGCTCGTCTAGCAGCTGGGCATTCAGTGCCTCGTAGTTATTCCGTGCTATCTGTAGCTCCTCCTGCACACGCTTGTCCTTCAACCTGTCGGCTCGCTCCTTGCAGTTATCATAGTCGAGAAGCTTGTCAAAGCGCTTCTGGATCAGTTTGTGGGGCCCAGCAAACATGGAGAGCAGCTGGGTGAGGGGCGAGATGACCAGAGCCTCTGTTCTTTCCTTCTGCTCAAAGATACAGACAGATTCAGAGGCATTTAGAGCGACAGGTAGTCATGTCATACAGTGTAATAAATATCTAAAACATTTTACTTTAATTGAGTAATTAATTGTGAATGAAATATATTATGCTTTTATGATAGATTATATACAAAAAAAACATACATGTGTATGGCGCATTTTTCAATAGTGTACAATCCTTTTAGGCCTAAAAGACAGGATTAGTGAACAGAACTCACAAACTGAGTGAACTGCTTGTCACTGATGCAGCGATGAGCTCTCTGGAAGCGCTCAGGGTCCAGCTGCTGCTGCCGCTCTGTGTAGATGTCACAGAAACTGATGGCTGACAGCACCTTCACTGAGGCAGACTCCTGCAGGGCAACACAGACCAGAGTCAGATAAAGTTAGAGTAGTCTCCAAGCGTGGTCTTGGAGAGTTACATTCTTCTAATACCTAGTTTAGTTCCAACCTATATCCAGTGAGCTGCCCTGCCCCTTACTTAACTCTAATACATCTGATCCAGCCATTTAGGGACTTGGGAAGAGTTTGATTAGCTGGAGGTGGTATGGAAAATTGTGGTCTGGACTAGGCTCTGCAGGAAGGTAGCTCTCCAGTACCAGGGTTGGAGACCAGTGATCTAGATCCTCTGTGCCTTAATAATTTGATGATTTGTACTGAAAGTGAATTAGACCTTGTATAAAGAAAACCGCTAATGCTGCCCCTCTGAAAAAGTTACAGTAGTGGACCTATTCGTTAATACAAGTTTTAGATGAAGGAGATTGCGCACCCTTATGTGCTGTAGGTAGAGGGAGATATCCCTAATGAAGGATTTGATCAATCGCTCCTGGAGTCTAAACCGCTTCTCTGCTTCATCAAATGCCTCATCCTTTATCTGGGGGGAGCACAAGAGAAAATATTAAATAACAACATAAACTCTAGAGGTGAACTATCAGCATGCAATGTGGAGTAGTAATGAGATGATTATACCTGTGGTGAAATTCCAGTCAAGTGCTTCAGATGGCTGCTCACTCTGTTTGACTTTTTGATGATGGAGTGCATGCTTAGCTTGGAAATCTTGTCAATGAGTCTGTCCTCATCACCTTTGCGGTACTTCACCACTATGAACATTAGAGGGCGCACTGTGATTAGCAATAAGCAACAACTACAGTACATGCAATAGGTGTAAAGAAGTTAGTGAGCACAGAAAACTAAGCGTGTGTGTTCAGGCTGTGTCCCAAACACTTACCCAGGTCCTTTCTCCTTTTGTACTCATTGATGTTGCCGTTGATCTCTTTAACAGACAGCACAGCGTCTTCCAGCTGTTTCCTGTCATGGTGGGACTCTGGCGTAGCATTCAGCAGCTCCATTAGTAGCAGGGGGTAACGCATCACTCTCTGCACAGGCTTTATCAGGAATGAACCCAAATTTATGTAGTTGGTTTTCCCCCTGAGAAAGACAAAGAGAGGATTTAATTAGACTGTATAGTCATTATGAAAATAACATACATGCCTTTTCATCATCTTTTTAAAATGACTATGACAGTGTCATTTTTCATCCATCAATCAGCAAAACTTGTATTTATCTATACGTTACAAAAGACAAATATAAAAACTAAGGCTAATTAAAGATACTAAAAGGGGTAAATGTAATTACTTTGTCACTTCCGATTGATGGAATGAATAAAGCCCATTTCAAAGATGATGAACTGTCTGGATTTATGAACTTACAGTAACATAGTAATGTTGGAAGAAAAATAATAATATAAATAAATCAAGTCTCAATCTGGAAATAACTATACATCTCTGTTTCTTCCACATTGAGATCAAATCTGCAACAAAGCAGCAGAACAGCCTAATGGTTTGAAATTTGCTTAGAGACCAGGTTAATATCTTTAAATCATATCACCAGATAGCAGTATGTAAGTTGCCAGAAAAAAAGGAAACAACCATTTGATAAAAAATAAATGCAATAAAACAAGCAAAAGTTCCACTTGGGGGTAAATTCTGACTTGACATATTATGCACATTCAAATCTTTGCACAAATATGCCATTTAGAGCTAAATGGGTTTCTTCAGTCAAGTCAGAACGCAGCCCTAAGAAGGGAGAGTAATAACAACCAAACACATACAGCACACACAAAGGACTTTGAGTAGACATTCCCCTTGGTCGTACACATAAACAGAAGGAATGGTTATGAGGGTTAATGAGCATCATGCATGCGGTCAGGCATTTTACATGCAGCTGCTTTATTTTAGACTTACCACCCACGGTATATCGCTCTGTCAGGAGGAAGGGAGAGAAAAGAGAGAGAGAGAAAGACAGTTCAAAACGGATGATGCTGGATTAAAGGAACTCTGTCTATGTTTGTCATCATGTAACTACTACTCACACTATAATAAAAGCATAGCATGACTTTGAAGGAATATTCCAGCATTTTTCAGCCTAATCTCTACCTGCCACACCTGTAGCATATAGTCAGCTACCAATGAAAAATAATTTTCATGCATGGTTTTCGAAACCTACTGACTTGAAACAAACATAGCTGCTGAAAATAAATAAAGAATGTTGCATACTTTTATAGTACATTTTCATTAAATGCTCCACTGTTTGAAAGCTACATAAAACTTCCTAAGAACAACATTGGTAAGACATTTTCTCAAGTCTGTCACATCCTGAGACCTGTATTATTAGAATTTAATAGTTTTAGCTTCAAATTCACATTATACAGTCACACATTTTAAACATTTATTCACATAATTTAGCAACAGCCCAAAAGTTTCTATTATATGTAAGTTTTGAATTTATGGGTTTTCAGTTTTTTCAGCAAAGGGAAGCACATCAAAAATGTTGTTTGTGGTTATCGACTTTACAGATACAGCAGATAGAGATTGGTTTCAAAATTCTAGAGTATTTTTAAAAAAAAATTAGTTGTATTTGTTTTAAGAGTTAATAAGAGTTGACCTTCTGAAGTACCAGGTAAGAACAAAGCAAGCAAAAGGCCAAGATAATAAATACGAAAGTCAAAAAAAAAAAAAGAAAAGAAAAGAAAAAGCAAAGTGGGCTGTGCCACGTTAATAAGTTCTCTGTTGCTGAGGCAACATATCGTGGCAGTGACCCACTTTAAGGAAACAGCGGGAGAGCCGTGTGCAGGCCCCACACGGCTCTCCCGCTGAGGGCAAAATGAAATGTCAGTTTTCTCTGGCCCAGAGTTCTCACATGGCTCACTCCTCTCTCATACAGCGCAAAAAACCTTAGCGGGACCCACAGCCAAGCTCTGCACTGATAACACTCTTATTACAGTAGGCTGCCCAAATAAAAGCCTTGATAGAACTACCACTGCCTAAAGAGAGCTTTTCCGAAATAAAAACAAAAATAAAGATGGTACTGAGATTAAAGAGAGGGGATGCATTTAGGCCAAAGTGCAGAAAACAATGAGCTACAAAATGCATTTTCCATTCTCCTCGTGAGGTATGTTTAAAGTAACTAAACAATCCAATAATAACATGCTTCACTGAATACAGCTCGAGGCCTGACTGAAAGACGGACTGAAACCAGTAGGCTGGTGAAACTAGGAGAGTTACATTCTTCTCTGGTTATGCTTTACTACACTATGACAAACAATGAGCAAAGCAAAACCGAAAAGACAAATGTATTTTTCTCGTAACTTTGCGTTTTACTCATAAAATACTAAAACATACAAATTACATTAAAACTCATAACACGAACAAGAGACACCAAAGACTCAGATATTAAACACTATCAATTAAAATAAAAGAGAGCGAGAGAGACAGCATCCTGTTCTTGAATTCCACAGATACCACAGTCCTATCATACAATCCTTCTGAAGGACGACAAGTAAGAATCAAAATCACTGCATCAAGACAACTTCAGACTATTCTGCCTTGTACTGACTTCAGAATATTGTTTTCAGAAGTAGATCTAAAGGACCTGAACCATACGACCATTTTCAATGTCAGTTTAACACAAACTAATCAGTGCACACAGGATATCACACAGTGTTTCACAGTTTAACTAACCACAAAAATGTGAAAAAACAACCAAGTCTGTTGTAAGTAGTACTGTCATGTTTCAAACCAATTCAGACATGCTCTGGTGCCACTCCATGCAGCAAGCTGACTGTCTCTGACTCTCCAGACACAGTAGAGACACTTGTCCTTATTTTCTACTAACCTGAGGTTCTCCAGACACTCCAACACATGCTTCTGAATATTCTCATCTTTCTCATAGGTCTCCAGCAGGGAGATGGCATCATCATGATTCTGACAATAGACCTTATACACCTCCTCCAGCTCTGATTTGAAGTCCAGGAACACTTTTCCTAGGAAATAGAAGACAGACAAACGTGAAAAGCCTCAGGAAATGGATGAATGATAATTTAACTGTAATGTGATACTTACTAAGTAAGTGATATGCTACATGATTATAATTGAGAGGAACTTAAAGGTGTAATTCTTACCTATAGAGTCAGTGTCCTGAAGTGCTTCATTAAGCCGACTTGAGAGATCAATTACAGAGTCAATGTTGCCAAAAAGACCATCAAAGTCTACATTCTGGACCTGGATAATGTATAAATATTACTTTTAAGAGCAAAGGCTAAAACCAAAAACACATCTCTCTTATAGATGCCTAGACAATACAAGTATTAGAAGCATGTAACAAAACACAAACACAATTTTTGGTTTTATAATAGCAGGTGAAATCGGTTCTTTTACACCAAAATGGACAATTATATACAGTATATAATACATAAACAGCATTGGTACAAAAAGTAGTGATTTGGTGGAGGCATGGCAGAGAATTCTGGAGCCAAACCTGTATACTTCTATCTAGATCACAAGATGTCATCAACATTTTTTTTAAAAATAAGAAGTTACTTTTTAAAGGACCCATATTGTGCCTCATTTCCTTCACTTTTTTTGAAGTAAAAGATGATGTAGTGTGTAAATTTTAAAGTTTTAAAACATACCAGTCAAGTCCCAGTCCATTCAGTCAATATATTAAAACTAAGCTGCAAAAACAGCCCATTTTGAATTCACTGTTTTGTGATGTGATAGAAAAACAACCCATTTACACATTTCTGTCTGTTCAGTCTAGATCAGCGTATCCTGCCCATTCATGTTGAAGTTACGAGAAGGGTTTCAACTGGACTGCTTTTTGAATGAGGCACAATATAGGGCAGCTAGTCAGGACAGAGATCATATGTATCTTAAAAGTACAGTAACAAAAACAGCCTGTTTAACTCAAAGGGATAAAGAGAGTTTGGAAAATGGTCATATTGCCTGGCTTTAAATAATGTTTTTAGGTGCCTAAAACTTTTGAACAGTACTGTATATGTGACAACACATGAAGAGCACCATATTGCTTCTTCTGTACCCACCTGTTTTTCCTTTAAGGGTTCAATGATCTCTTCCCTACACATCCGCAAGTCTTTTATATAGTCTGCCTCGGTCTGCAGAAGCTCCTCTATGACCTTTGACCTTTTCTCAAGCATTCTCTGCTCAGGGTCTTCTGTGGAGGCTGCAGAGGCTGGGGCTGACTCTAGAGATTTAGGTTGGGCTGACAGCAGTGTCATCTCTAAATGAATACAGAAAGTAAATAAATTAGCAATTAAATCTAAGATATTACCTGTCTGCACCTTGGTGAAGTGCTTGGGCTTGTAGTCAGTATGGAAGTCAACTGCCAGTACTGAAGTTATATGGTCATGTGATTAGTCATTGAATTGATCAGTCACTCTGTAAAAGAGGTATAAAGGAGTGCTAGACAATAATCAGTGTTGCATTGGGAGAGAAAAAAAAGTGTCAGTTTACACAGCATGTCGCCGCTGACTGTCCAGAGGATGTCACGCTGCAGGGAGAAGTCTGACTGCTCTCTGATCTTTTCTCTCTCTGTTTTGAGGTCGGGTTGAGTAAGATGGTGGGATTGGAGGGGACAGGGCCGCTCTCATGCACCAGTGGATCTCCACAATGGAGCCTAAAAGAGGCCTTTGTGGGAACACAAAGAGCTGCCACGGCATCCACTGAGACATGGGCTTTTTTAGGGCTTGGGCTGCTCTAGATCAGGCTGCAAGAGCCAGAAGCAAAGGTTTTTTCTACTATTACAGATAATGAGGACTTTTGGCTGTGAATCAGTTACTCTTCACATATAAAATAATGAAGATTACACAGGCCTACAACAAAGTGTCAAAATGTAAGATATTATACGATTTTAAATGTAATGCAAATATGAAAATGATAACTGATGATTAAAAGCAGTTTGTTGCTGTAAAGCACTGTTCACTGCAGACATGTTCTTCTCCCCTACAGGTTTGAAGACAGTAAATATACATTAAAACAACAGAAAGGGAAAGTCCCCACCAGCATGACCAACTGTTCTCTGTTAATGAGGACGTATACACTGTAATTGTTTTAGTATGTTTATTTTTATGTAAACTGTTAGTATATATATATATATATATATATATATATATATATATATATATATATATATAAACTGTTTTTATTCATCAACTTGTTTCATTTAGTTTTTTTCTGCTAAGTGTGTCCTGAATTTCGGTTTTGGCCAAGAATTTTTCTTTGGTGCATCGCTAAAAATCATAGATTAAAATTTACCTTTTAGTGGGCTGGTGTGAACTAGTTTGCAGTTTTTATAATGGTAATGGCATACACATATTTGTATGCACTTTTTGCCACATAGTGTTTTTGCATTTTTTTCAATAAAGCTTTTCAAGTCTATGAAAGGCCATGCATTTTTTTGCTATTGTTCAGTTGACCCAATTTTTATTGTTTTGCCTTTTAAAGCAAATGACTGATTTCTTGTATAATCGCTAGTGACAGCCCAAGACTACAGCAGTGTACAGTTTATTGCCTTTATTCCACCCACACCAGCTGAGTTGAAATAAGAGTGTTTTGGGCAAACAGTAAACTTTGCAGGGGTGTGTGTGTGTGGAATTATCCATACCTGCTCTACGAGGAAAGCAACAGGTGTGTGTCGTAAACTTTCAGACTATTCAGGGTGTGCTAGATCTAATGTGGTGACTTGCGGTGACATCATGCTGAGGTAAATAATTCATGCTGCTGATTTGTTCGAAGATGATATTAGTCTTTGAACCAAATGGCACTTAACTCATTTAGAGACGTGCCGACTAGCACTTCCACTGGGGTATAAGAACAAACAATTTTAAAGCCTTTTTTGTTTAATTTTTTTTTTTTTGATTTTTTCCAATGTTCTCCACAATTTAGTTGTACCAAATTCCATCCACTAGCTAGGACTACCTCAATCACACGATACTGTGATGGCTGTAGGATCACTGAGGATAAAGATGCTTTTGACTGAATGTGATATGCCTAGAGAATCTCAGGGAAAACCAATACCACACTTTTGTTTATGATAAGTGCCACGGCAGGATGAACTCAGGATGCTGCATGCAGTAGGTCTGTATTGTCAGGTCTAACAAAATTAGTGTTTTTTTTTATTATTATTTATTTATTAAAGTCTGGTAATATAGTAGGGATGCATTGATACCGATACTGGTATCGAGTATCTGCCCAATACTGTCCTAATTTTCTTGTACTCATAAATCGATGCACAGGTATCAACATCCGATACCACCTAATACCATTTGATGTAAGCTGAGTGTACACTGCTGCACTAAAGAACAAACAACTCAAATTGGCAGTCAACGAAGGGCTGCTGTACAGTGAAGTGTTGCTGATGCTGTGGTAGGCGGACACAAAGCCAGCGACCACTTTAAACACTCTACCTTGGTATATTCCTCTCAGGAATACACTGTGTGATTTTAGCCTGTTTTAAACACAAACACTAACACAACAACTTCCTCAATATGGGTGGAGACACATGGGCTAACAAAACAGGTGTAAAAGCCGACATTTGTGGATTCATAGTCCAAATGTACCGACTTTTACTCTGTTTGGCTGAGTACAATTGCCAGGTATAAACGTAAATACACAGATTTTTTTTGAAAGACCATATGGTCCTACTGTGTACATCACCACTTGGTTTTAGTTTCACTGCACAGTGTGGTACAAGTTAGCAAAGCTGCTGTAATATTATACTTTTTCAGTACTCGGGTGAGCAGCGTGTTATTTTGAATGAAACAGCTTTACTGACTATTGTCCGTAGACAGAGCTGTCTATAGAGGCTGTGTAGCACTTAGCATGGACTAAGGGTTTTTGTACCGGGTGAATATACAAATCGTAGGCTTTGTCTGTACATGATGGTCTACTCAAGTGTACAGTGTGAGTCACAAAAGAACAAAGTTTCTTAAACTGTGCAGTGTATGTCTAGCTTTGGAGGACATTCAATTACAGCTCAACCAGCCAAACAAAAGACTTCAACAAGACGTAAAACTCAAAACGTTAGCTCCTACAACTCTTACAAAGCAGGAGGTCACCTGATGAAATGTTTGAAGACTAAGACCAACTGTTTAAACAAGTAGAATCCGGTGTACTATAGCTTGTTTGGAGTGAAAACCAGCAGCCACACCGGCCCTTTGTGGATAAGATTGGACACCCATGTGTTAAAGGATTCAAATATTCGAATGCCAAGAGTGGCTGAACCACATATACTGAACAGAAAACTGTACAGCACGATAAGGCAGTCTGCAGTAAGGCACTGTTTGCATCCTCCTAACCTAAATAACAGTAGAAACTATAGTGAATCTATATTAGCAAACTGTTATCTATTATGTTAAAAGGATAGACACCAGGAATATATGGCTTGACCTATCCATGTGCTAAGTGACCCACTTCACACAAACTTCCTAAACAAGCAAAATCTCTTTGTATCATATATACACACATAAACACAATCGCTGTACAATACAATCTGTTCTGACCTACTTTTGCCAAAAGCCATAAAATAATCACTGTTGTCAAAAAATCTTCAGCATCTCTACATCAATTAATTCACCAAAGTCTGAGTTCACTTTACTTTAAAAATGTCTCAAGCAAAAACCCAGACAGAAAAAACATTTCTACATGACAAAGACGCCAGCAGACATGACATTCACTCCAAGTTGTGACTCAGTCACCATAAAAAATGCAAGAAGGAACCAGCCATTCACCTGCTTTACCAATCAGCTACTTCTTAACAATGAAATGAATGAGCTGTACAAGGATGTTCAGAAACCGAAAGGTTGAGTCACTTAAAAACTCCCATGTGCAACGCAACTACTTACACACTATAGTCCAGTCAGACAATGTTGAATTAAATTTCATGGCAATAAGAAAGACTTTACAGATCATAAATCATCAGCAGACCACCTATAAGTGTGTACACCCTTAAACATAAAAGTTCCAAAATGATACTTCGCTTCTAGGAATAAACTTCAATTGGTTTAGAACCTTACATTATGTGGACGTTCTTTACATTTTAAAAGATTCTTCACAATAAAGGGGAATTCTACCCACTTAACCTATTTTTCTGCATAATTAAATTGTTAAGATGTAAACAAAGTCATTCTGGGTCAAGTGGTTTGTTAACAGTGGTGGTAGGAACCGGACGTCCAAAGCACTCAATACGCCTAAAAGCTACCTCACAAAACATATTACACAAAATTGCTATGAATAAATGGCCCAATGTCTGAAACATTGTTTTGCAATACATTTAAGATAAAGTTTTGGCCTAAAATCTGAAGACACCTGTAGGATATGTTTATGTTGTTACATCCTTTGCTTCCCCTCACCAACACTTTAAAGAAATCTGAGGACTCTCTATAATGAACCATTTCACAGCAGAACACTGAATAACTTTGTTTACATCTCAACAAAATATCAGTGGAATTTCCCTTTAAAGAACCATCCAAAGGAAGGTTCTTTACAGAACCAACTTTGGTTCATGTACTGCATTGCTCCAGAGAATCCCTTTGGCAACTTTATTTTCAAAATTAAAGTATTCCTAGATTTAACATGAGATCTGAAAGAGAGAAAGAAGGAAAAATTAAATAATAAAAAAGAAAAGTGAATATGTGTATATGAATGCTTTCTAGTGTGAGAGTGGTGCATGAGGACTATGAAGGTCTACAGAAAGTGTGCCAGGGCTCTTACAGTAACGTATGTGTGCCATGGCCTGGTGAATGGTTGAGTGGATAATCCCAGACAAACACACAAAAGCCTCTCTCTCCCTGCCTGACGTGCAGTGGAAGTAATTGCTTGTGGCATTGTCTTTGGTCCCCTTTCACAATGCTGGTCTTGCCAGCCTCCTCCATGCAGCTCCCATAGTGCCCTACTGGGGCACAAAGCGCACACCCAGGGGTGGTACTGCAGGGGCTGTCCTGGTCAAAAGCTTGACCTTGTTAACAAAGTCCAGTAGTGTGGCCATTGGTCATAAATCATTATGCCTGACCATAAAAGATCAGATACCCAACAAAAGGCATGACATACCATGCATGGATTTCATGTGTTGTGTATTTTTTAAGGATGATTACCATTCTCCATGAAAAAAATGGAAAAAAAAACAACATTCACACACTTTTATTCAGGGCACGTCAAGTCAGAGTCAACACACAAAGTTAACCAAGATTACAGCTATATGCAAAAGTTTGGGCACCCCTGGTC